GATTTCGGCTCAGGTTGTGATCTCCCAGTTGGTGAGATCGAGCCCGGCAACAGGCTCTGCGCTGAGGGGTGCGGAACCTGCTTGGGATTCCCTCTCTCTGCCTCTCCCCTGCGCGCGTGTGCACTCTCTCGCGTGCGCTCTCTCTCTCAAAATAAACTTAAAAAACAAAAGTAGGCATGATAAAATATTTCTTTCTATAATTCGACTCTTGAAACCCAAAGGGCTAGGGGTAGAGGGTAGCGAGGAATATCTTGTCAAAATTCACAAGGAAGGGAAAGATGGAGATAGAGCAAAACTTTTTCATTTGACAGAAGACCAATATATTCATGTATAAAATGAAGCTTATCATAGTAAACTTCCTTGCATAGTTATGAGGATTAAATGAATTAATGTGCCTAGAAGAGTGTCTGGCTACAGGAGAGAGTCATTAGACACCATAGTCATTATTGGTCTTGTCTGGCACGTAGGCTTCTAGCCGAGGAGCGTGGACCTGGTGGAGGGTTCACGCTGCCTCGTTCTCAGGATCGTGTCCATTCTCTCGCATTTATAACTCCACCACGTCCAACACCTACTTCCTTTACAATCACTGGGCTTTCATGAATCGGGTGTTGCTGTGTGTGTTGCTGTGGTACAGAGGGATGAGTCGTACGGTCTAATTTGTGTACTCCTACTTCGAGATAGGTCAGCAAAAAGAATGTATTTTCTCAGCTTTAACGGTTGTAGTCCTCACAGCAGGGAACCTTGGTTCTGGAGTTAGGCTTCCAGCACCTGGCCATGGTGAAGATTAAATGCACAGCGTGTGAACATATTTGGCATCCTGCCAGGAGTGTACTAGGCGCTCAATAAACAGTAGTGTCATTTCCTACAGTAAATCCTGGTCCCTGTTCGGCTAGCAGCCTGGTCTCCTATTGAAAGTCACAATTTAGGGGTGCCTGCATGGCTTGGTTAAGCGACCGACTCTTGATTTCAGCTCAGGTCATGGTCCCAGGGTCATAGGATGGAGCCCTGAGTCGAGCTCTGTGCTGAGCATGTAACCTACTTGAGATTGTCTCTCTCTCCCTTCCTCTCCCTCTGCCCCTTTCCTCTGCTCGTTCGCTCCCTCTCTTAAAAAAAAAAATCACAATTTGTACACTTGGTAGTTACTTAATCACGCAGTGGTCTACGGAGGAGGAAATCTCTTCTAGGCTCTTGAGGAGCTGGTCTAACGATTCAGTTGACAGAAGACAGATTAATAGGAGAAGGAAATAAAACCAATTTAATGGCACATATATGGGAGCCCACAGAAATATGGGTTCAGAGAAGACTAAAGCGGGCAGCTTTTCTATCTTTAAGCAAAGAAATAAATAATTGAAGACACAAGGGATTTGGGCTTGAGGTAGCTGTACTTGTGAAGCCCTGACAGCTTTTGTTTTGTTTTGCTTTATTTTTTCTTTTATTGGTGATGCAAGTGCCTGACTTCAGCTTTGATGCCTAGGCGTCCGCGTCAATGATGGCGGTCTCCAGTAAACACCCTGCCAGCCACAATCCCAGATCGAGCCCGGCTGCCTCCATCAACCCAGGCTCCTTTGTCTTAGGGCTCTTGGTTGATTTCAATAGTTACCATTCGGACTGCTAGTCTCTTTTTCTTCCCGTGTTGTAAATTCACCACTAAAGAGGGAGGTCCTGAAACCTCAGGCCCCCACCTTCAACCCCAACAGAAGCAAAACCCCAAGGCTCACGTGCCTCTCTCTTTGCCTGTGACCTTGCTGTGTGGCCATAGATGTGCTGTGTTATTTTCAGGTCTCGTAAGTAACCCTTTATATTTCACATTTTCTGATGGTTGTTGCTGAGGGACATGTTGTAATCATTAAAATCACAAGGATTGAGGGGTGCTTTGATCGCTCAGTTGCTTAAGCGTCTGACTCTTGATTTTTGGCTCAGGTCGTGATCTCAAGGCTCACATGTTTGAGTTCCATGTCAGGCTCTTGTGCTGACAGTGCAAAGCCTGCTTGCAGTTCTTTGACACTCCCTCTCTTTCTGCTCCTCCTGTGTTTGCTCTCGCTCTCACTCAAAAGAAATAAACTTAAAAATGGGGGGGGGGGTGCCTGACTTTAGCCCAGGTCATGATCTCATAATTCATGAGTTTGAGCCCCACGTTGGGCTCTGTGCTGACAGCTCAGAGTCTGGAGCCTGTTTCTGTTTCTCCCTGTCTCTCTGCCCCTTCCTTGCTCACACTCTGTCTCTCTCTCAAAAATAAATATTAAAAAAAATAAAGAGGGGCACCTGGGTAGTTCAGTTGGTTGAGCATCTGGCTTCGGCTCAGGTCATAATCTCACGGTTTGTGGGTTCGAGCCCTACATTGGGCTCACTGCGTCAGCACAGAGCTTCAGCTTCAGATTCTCTGACTCCCCCATTGTCTGCCCCTCCCCCTCTCCTGCTCACTCCCTCCCTCCAATATAAACAAACATTTAAAAAAAATCGCAAGGGTTGGTCTTGGTGTAGCAGTGGTGTGGAGAGGGGGGGAGCTCCGTGGGAAGGTCCCTGGTTCCCGGGTGGGTGTCCCCGCGCACATCTGGCGGCTAGCATTACTGTCAATGGGCCGAGACTGGCACAAAACAGCAGCGAACGAGCGAAGAAGAGCTGGTGCTGCGTACAGCCTTCCCGGCCCCAAGCTCCTGGTCTCTGGCCTTCAGGGGCTCAGGAGGGCCACCGTGTTCCGTCCTGCCCTGGTGAGTTCCTGAGTAACTGATTCAAAATAACAAGGGTGGCCTGTCTCGGGGGCGGCGTGCCCTGCATCCCGCCGGTACTGTGTGCTCCTGTGATAAATGATGCTGGATGTTCCGGGAGCTTGTACACGTCTGGGGAGGCCTGTCGGGGGATCCGAGTCTTGAGGGATAGACTGGTAGCAAATGAGGCAGTGAAGGCTCGGAGGCCTTCTGTTGTTGCCTTCCTCCTACGGAAGGGAAGCTTAGCGTTGAATTTTACGTTCTTATTGAAATACACAGTCTTCATGATGACACATTGTGTCTTTGTTCACTGATTGAATCCAAGAAAGCTACCTAGGTGAGTGGATAATTCCAGGGGAATGCAGCCCAGGGAGGTCACCCGTATTCTAATGTCAGTGTCCGTGTCCAGCCTTACCTTCTCCCTCCCCGGACTCCTGACTTGGCCGGAGTTAGATTTCATCTACCGGCAGAAGGCAGCCTTGGCTATTTTGGGGTTTGTTTTTTTTTTTTGTTGTTCTTTGTTTTGGACTTTGGATCATCTGTTGCATTCATTTGTGATTCCCCACTCCTGCTTTTCTCTAGAACCCAGTCCTACCCATTCATTTTATTTTGTAATGTTTATTTTTTATTTTTGATAGATACAGAGACAGCATGAGCAGGGGAGGTATGGGGAATGGGGAGGAGACACAGAATCCGAAGCAGGCCCCAGGCTCCGAGCTGTCAGCACAGACCCTGACACAGGGCTCAAACTCCCAAGCCCTAAGATTGTGATCTGAGCTGAAGTCAGACGCTTAACTGTCTGAGCCTCCGTGGTGCCCCTACCTACCCATTCTTTAATTTTTTTTTTTAATGTTTTATTTATTTCTGAGAGAGAGAGCCACAGAGACAGAGACAGTGTGAGCAGGGGAGAGTCCGAGAGAGAGGGAGACACAACATCTGAAACAGGCTCCAGGCTCTGAGCTGGCTGTCAGCACAGAGCCCAACATGGGACTCGAACCCACGAACCATGAGATCATGACCTGAGCTGAAGTCAGACGCTTAACCGACTGAGCCACCCAGGTACCCCCTCCCCCCCCCCATTCTTTAAAACAGATGTGTGGCTTGCTGTCTCCAGAAGTTCCCAGCCTCTGTGGGCTTAGCCACAATGGGTGCCCCTTACCGGTGCTGCCTAGGGAACTATCTGCCAGGCTGATTTTGCTGTTTTCCTGGGAATGTCTTCTCTCTGGCTTCACGGGGTTAAACATTGTGTTATCATCTGTGCATCCCCCAGAGCATGGCGTGAACATGGCACTGCGTGCACCCAAGAAGAGCACTTACCGAGTGTTTTTTATGTGGCAGGCAGCGCTCTGGGACCTTACTTAACTCCTTTTATTTTCTCTGTGCCCTAGGATAGTTGCAGACTCTCTATTTCATGAGGTTACTGTGAGCATTAAATGAGTTAATTCCTGTGAAAGTGCTTAGAAAGAACGTGGAATGTAGAAAGTGCTCAGTCCATGTAAGCACTCATTAACATCGTCCCAATCGTATAGTTGTAAGTGCTGTGCCTCGGAGAGGCTGAGTAGCTGGCCACTAAGCGTCCTGGCTTGTAAACAGCACGGCTGATACTCCAGCTCTGGCATTTTTGCCCCAGAGAGCGTTCTCATAAACGTGAAATACTACTTCTCTTGGTACTGTTTTGATGTCTGGTCACTTTAAATTCAGCACAGAAAGAGCTCGAGGCAATTTATGGTTAATTTCTGCTAGGTCTGTGAGCTTTCCAGGTTGCCTATTCGTTTGTGAGCAGCGTGTGATGGTGACTACATTTCCCATTAAAAATTATTTAAACTATTGAGGCAAAATGAATGTGAACCAAGTCACAAATGTTAATGATGAGTAGTTTGTGTGAAAATGGTAAAAAGCAAACAAATGGTACCTGGGGGGTAAACGGGCTTTCAGAGGAGCTCCAGTGATCCCTGTCCTGGGGTCCACACCGGTGCAGAAAACCTTTCGCTGGAGTTTGAGTGGGACTCGAACTTGGTTCTGACCAAGAGAATGTGGTAAGGAGGGTAGGATGTTTTTCCCGTGATTGCTTAATGCTACGGAAGACTCTTGTAAACTGACTCTATTTTAAACACTACCGTTGACCTTGACGAATAAGACACCATGTTGTGAACGGCTTGTGAAGACGGCTGTGTGGCGGGGAGCTGCCGGGAGACCTTAGGCGCTGAGAGCCGAGAGGACCCCAAGCCATGTGGAAATGAACTCGGCCAGTGTGAGCATGCTTATGGATGGATTCTTCATTGTGCTTCCTTCTAGATCAGTGTGCAGCCCAGCTGAGATGTCTGTGTAGCTGGCAAGACTGAAGCAGAGAACATAGATTCTCCACGTGAAGACTCCCACCTGACTCCCACTGAGGTAATAGATGTGTGTTGTTTTATATGCTCATGATAATTCATTCCGTGGCAATCTATAACTGATCCACCTAGTGATGGTGAAGATTCCGGAAAGGTCAACTCCTTTGATAGGAATCAAAAACGCTGAAACAGACTAGCGGTATGTGTTCAGGAGTCTTGCAATTGCCCATACGCTCTGGCGCGGGAACGTTGCTTCTAAATACTTGTTGTAGGGAATGAGGTGTGTACGGTGTTCTCTGGAAGAGGATATAGTAGTTGAAAAAAATGGAGCAAATAAGGTTTTTCCTGCATGGGGGCTACTTAAATAACGGTGCAAGTCAGTGGAGTTGTCACACAGCCGTTAAAAACGATTTGGTAGAGGTATTCCTGTCGGCACTGACGTGTTCATGGCACAGGGTAGAAAAAGTTGTTGACGGAAGATCGTGGACAGGGGGATTCCTTTTTGTGGACGTGTGTGCTGGGGTAGCTGCTCTCGCCCTGCGGGGGGCTTTCTCCCAGCGCTGCTGCTAATGTTTTGTCCTCCGCTGGACCAGAGGGAGACCATTGGTTACGTTGGGCCGGGCGTGCTTTGGGAGGTGGCAATCCAGGGCATGGGCACCCATCTCCTGGGTCCACGTCGGCCTGCCGGTGGTGATTTCTGCGGTTAATACGGTCTCGACAGGGATTATGCCCGCGATCTCTACAGCAGCGTTCATCTTTGCTCCAGATCCCTATGCGCAGAGAATCGTCAAATGGGTTGGTAGGTCTCCGGAGCCCCCATCGTCACGATCCTCATTCTTGGTGCGAGTGCCATCTCAGAGATGAAGAAATCGAAGGTCAGTCACTTCAAGTGACGTGACCCAGGTGACAGGCTTTGCCCGTAAACCTAGATCTTGCTGGATCCAGAGTTCGTATCCCCGGTGCAGAGTCCCGTTCTCCGCCTCTCTGCTCTCCTGGCCCCAGGAGCACACCTGCAGGATAATGATCCATTCCGGTCTTTTTCCGTTGCCGTTGCTTCTGTCTGCGTCCTTCTCCTTTTCGTAGACTGTGCTAAAACATGAAGGTAACTTTTCTGGCTCTGGTATTCACTCCTTCTGATTTTTCTTTTTTGTTAAGTTTATTTATCTGAGGGAGCGAGAGCGAGGGGGTCAGAGAGGGTGCAGGAGGGGGCGCGCAGGCCCGAGAGAATCCCAAGCAGGCACCGCGCTGTCCCCGCAGAGCTGGAGGCAATGCTCAAACCCATGAACCGTGAGATTATGATCCTGGTTGGACACTTAATCGACCCTTGCAGCCACCCAGGCCCCCCACTACTTCTCATCTTTCCATGGCACTGTCAGTGGACCCTTCCTGAAACACTGCCACGCTCCCCTCCGTATCCTGTGTGGAAGGGGGAGGGAGGAGGGGCGGCCACCTACTAAGTTACTCTTGAAGGGAAACTGGACGCGCGATCACTTGGGCGGTGAATAGGTGCGCGGCGATGGCCCTCATCAGCGGCTCCCCTTTACCCAGGCCTCCTTATAACACGCTTCAAAGTTCCACGTCGGGGGGAAGAAACTCCTCTTCCTTCGGGGCTCTGGGCGTGAGTCCCCTGTAGTCAGAGGTAGGTTGATAGGAGGGACCTCCAGCAGCAGTGGGAGAGGCAGGACCTGGGAAACCCGAGCGACTCCCCCCGAATGACCCAGGCCACCATCTTCCTACCCACTCCTGGCAAAGGTTATCAGGAAAAGCATGGTAAACAAGGGTAAGATCCTTGCACAGATTCAGCTCGGAGCCTTCTCTGTTGATAAGTTTCTAGAAATCCGTCCTCCTTCTCTTCCTGGTACAGAGGGGGAAGACACCCTCCCAAATGGACGTTGCCCTTTGTAAGAGTAACTTCTAGGCTTTCAGAACTTTTCTTGTGTCAGCTGTTTCTTAAAAAGAACCAGCGCGAGGGGCGCCTGGGTGGTTCAGTCAAGCGTCGGACTTGTGATTTCAGCTCAGGGCCTGATCTCCCAATTTGTAAGATTGAGCCCCAAGTGGGGCTCTGTGCTGCCAGTGTGGAGCCTGCTTGGGATCCTCGCTCTACCACCGTCTCTGTCCCTACCCCGCTCGTGCTTGCCCGGTCTCTTAAAAAAATAAAATAAAATCAATAAAAACACCCCACACAGTTCCAGATAATCCTGAGGCCAAAGGAACACGCACGCTGTGTACCGCGATCTGGGTTTACAGCCACAACTCCTGTCCCGCTACGCTGCCATCCCCAGCACATTATGCCAGCATGCCTGCGGTGTGGCCCAGGAGCCAGTCTAGAACTCCCGAATCACAAAGGTGGGGCAACAGATGAAGCTGAGAAGATCTTAAGGTTTCTCGCGGCTGTATCCTAGCCCTTTTGACAGAGAATCTTTAGAAGTGGGACCTCAGAACTATAGTTTCATATACCTCCAGAGGAGATTCTCCTGGGCTGATTCGGGTCTTCCAGTTCGAGAATCGATGTCCTAATCTCCTGTCCTGCTCTTCGCCAAACACGCGGAGTTCTCCGGGGTCTTTGATCGTGATGTCACACTCTTGAAATGGTCCCTCCGTGCACGTATAGGAGGATTAGGAGGAACTTGACGGAGGAACAAGGGGGAGAAGAAGGGGGGAAATGGTGGGGGAAAGGGAGAGAGGCAAACCATGAGAGACTCTTGAATGCTGACAAAAACTGAGGACTGATGGATTTGGGGGGGAGGGGGGATGGGCATAGAGGAGGACACTTATGGGGATGAGCACTGAGTGTTATGTGGAAACTAATTTGACAATAAACTATTTGTAAAAAAAAAAAAATATATAATGACATCTTAACCCCTAAAAAAAAAAAAAAAAAAAAAAAGAAATGGTCCCTCCGTGCCTCCCTACCTGGTGAATTCCTCTCTGAAGTCCGATCTCTGGTGTTTTCCTCTGTACCTTCCCTTGACGCCCTGAAACTATACTGAATTAACTCTTCTGTGCCCTCATGGGTCTATGTGCACAAGAGGTTATAGCGCTTGTCACATTTTTAAAACTTGTTTACAGGTTTGAGTTTGAGTTCCTTTCATTACTGCTGTTCTCACAGGCAGAAACCTTGATCTTGGTTTTTTTTTATACCACCGGAGCTGCCTTAGCTCCTGGTAGGCATTCATTCAATAAATGTTCCTCAAGTTGAATTAAATTGACATTATTCCTAAGGGTTTTTTCTTTAAATCGTGGCTCACTGTGTTACTTGAAAAGTTGTGAATTCCCAAAATACAAGTGTGAATTATTTTTGGATTAGCTGCTATTTATGTAGTTCTTCCCCTCTCTGTAATATACAGGTGATTGAGGCAAGAAGGAGGTACTTTAATAGTATTAAAAAGTTTATCTCTGTTTTGTATAACTTATTCAGTCACCAGAGATTGCATTGCCTTGTTGATCTAGTTTAACTTCAGAACCATGTTTTCCCCTTAATTAAATTTTTAGAAAATGATTAAAGATAAGTTTATATTTTATCCTATTTAAAAATTTTTTTAATGTTTATTTCTGAGAGGGAAGGAGGGGAGGGAGGGAGGGAGATGGAGAGAGAGAGAGAGAGAGAGAGAGAGAAAACGAATGAACAGGGGAAGGGCAGAGAGACAGACACAGAAGCTGAAGCAGCTGCCAGGCTCTGAGCTGTCTGGTGCGGGGCTTGAACCCATGAACTGTGAGATCATGACCTGAGCCGAAGTTGGTCACTTAACCCACTGAACCATCCGGACTCCCTTTATGCTATTTTCAAGTTGCTACCATGTTAAATCCCAAAGAGAACCCATTTTGAAGAGTTGAAATGTTATTACATTTTAATTATATGGTCTGTGTATAATTACTATAAACCAAATTTATCACTTTCAACTTAATAAAGAAATTTATTTCCAAAGTGTCAGATGATATACAATTGAGCCCAATGCTTGTGGAATGTTTGCTGAAAGCACTATTTCACCATTCTCTGATTACATGTCACTGGAAATTTAATTAGTTTATATAACGATAGACATCTCTATCCAAATAATTTATACCATGTCTGTTATGTTGGTCTATTTTTTGTATTAATGAAATGGTTTACTTCAAAGGAGAATAAATGAAAATACTGGGTGGAAAAGGTGCATATTCCTTCTGTTCATAGCTTATTGAAGTCGGTATTCTTGAATTTCATGCGAACATAGTTTATAGGCTTTGCCACCGAGTTCAGTTTCTTAGGAGGAGCCTGGCATAGTATTAAAACTTGTGATAAGGGTAGAAGAGATGAGGGTATTATATGTTCCTTTGTGTAATTTTGAGGAAGATCAATGTATTCTTCTCAACTCAGGCTATTTTGGAAATCATCTATTTTCTACATAGAGGGAGATGCCCAGAACCTAGAGTATAATGACCTTAAATGCTCTATTAGAGCTTAATTACCGAGCCTTGAAGTAATAAACCAACGAGGCCTCTTATGTGAACATCTTATCAGCAGCAATATCCATATCACTACTTAATCCATAGCAAGCTCTATAAAGCAATCAAGGCCAAGGCCAAATTCCTCCTGAAAGGAGTCTGTGTGACTCTACAGAGCTTTAGTGGAGATTCTGCTACCTCGGTTATTTTTCTGGCTACAGGTAACTTGATCATTCTGTGCCTAAGGCTCGTCCATGTAATATCTGCTCGAGCACCCAAATTCCAAGTCCGCTTTTCTTACCAGTGTCCTTTTTCTTATTGTGCCAACATATGGCATTGGCATCATGGTGGAAAGTTCCTGAGTTGGTTACATTGTGGGGGGGAAATCTTTGCAACTTATAATTTTGTGAGGATACTCCTTAAATGGGTTAAATATTTGCCAGTGGAAAAAAAACCTCCCTTCATACCCTAAGTTGGCTGTGATTTCAGTCTGGGAGGCTTAGGACTCTAGGATTCAAACCTGAGCATGTTGCAAAAAGCGACCGGGTCCTTACTGTCCAGGGCTCTGTAAACCTGGACTTCTACTGCTTGAGGACCCGTGTTCTACTTCTTTGGCCACCATGTCCACCAGCTCTTCGA